AAAGCTATCGCTACCCCTAAGGATTTGGCAAACGGGCACCAAATGTTTTGCAGCATGTGTGGCACATGTCCATGCTTCCCACCACTAAATATAATATTAATGTTGGTCTTGCTATGCCGTAAGACCCAAGACACATTTGTTCCGCCGATCGTTAGGGTTTTCAGTGAAATGCAGCGCACATATGAAAATAACATGTGAAAATTTGGTCATGGCCCACCATTTTTGCTCGGAGCGGTGATCCCAATGATTTGTGGGCAGATGGGGTTCCCCAACAGTAGTGCTGAAGCAAAATCTCTTCCCAACAGGATTCCTACGACATTAAGTTTACTGACAATGCTCATACACGACAACAGTGCTACGCGACAAAACTTGCTTTCCAAAACTTATGCTCGTCATTACTTCTACTGCAAACACTTAAACAGTCATTGTTTGTAGACGACGTTACTTTTACTGCAAAAACTCATGCGCGACATTCGTGTCACACGATAAAACCTGTATTTGAAACATAACGCTCGTCAATACTTACTCTGCAAAAACATGCAATCATCACTAATGCACAATCTTACCTCTGCTACAAAGCCTTATACGCAATACTTGTGCTACGTGACAAAGCTTATGCTTCAACAACTTGCACCTGTTATTTTTTCTGCTGCAAAAAGTTATACAGCTATTGCACATATACTGCAGCACTTCTACCGCAAAGAATTATACTCGACATGAGTATCAAAGACATGTGGTGAAGTATTTGCTGCAGAAATAATGACTGGTCTATGTTTTGCAGTGTAAGCTTTGTTGTGTAGGACTCATGTCGCATATGAGTTTCTGCAGAAGTAGTGTGTGGATATGTGAAGACTCTTGAAGTTTTTCAGTGGCTATGTGGCGTGCTAAGTATTTGAAGAATACATTTTGTCGTGCAGCACTCATGTCGTGTCTTTGCGATAGAAGTTATGTCACGTATAAGTAAAGCCTGCAGAAGTTTGTACAATACAAGCAACGATGCGTATAACTGACGTAGCACACCTGTCGGTGGGAGTTTTTGCCATGGAACTAATGTTGTGATATCGCAAAATGTTGTTGGTTCGGAAACAATGCGATTATTTTTGCAGAACAGGAGACGGTTTTTCCCAAGACCATGTCACGTCAGAAGAATGCATGGTGGTGTTTAAGGATCCGTTGTGGTCTTATCTTCTTTTGAAGTACTGAGAAACTGCTAATGGTAGTTTTACTATTTCCGTTTTACATCTTGTTCAGGAACCTGAGAAGCGCAACGACCTTTTCAGAATCTTCTTCAAAAACGAGCCCTATATGATATACAAAAAGTGTTGTCATTTTTAAATAGGAACAAATAGCCTTGAGTCTTCTAGAAGAAAGCGCCAGCGCCTGTCTTCTGAAAGCAGGCCAGTGTTCTAAACTGCATGTTAATGGACGTACAATGTATGATATATTTGCGCGAATGGTCAGCAATGAGCCCCATAGCAACCTCAGCCCATCGCTTTGTTTATTTACGCTCCGGGACACTTGTACTTGTCAACGGCATTTCAAGGATGCGTCTGGCCGTTTATACCAGGGGGAAGGGTCTGATAAGGTATAAGGCGAGATGACATCACATTTGCTCGCTAACATCAGCAAAGGGACTTCGTTCTATCCATAAGGCAACCCCGGAATGCTTATGTGAGGAGCTTGCCGGTGCATTGCTCAATTCATTTCACATCTGGCTTGATACAGAAATATTTGGATATTTGCCAAAAGAATCTGGCTAAAAAATTCAAAGGACATGCACCCAACCACGCCAATGACTCTTGGGCACTCACACGCATGCACATGTGGGCTTGATATAGATTATGGATTCATAGTTTATGCATCATGGCAAATATTTTAGCGTGCGTTGTACCGGTATATTATAGCTGCGTATTAATGCGCTGGAGCATTTCCAGGGAGCAGGATACGCAAGAGACGGGCGTTCGCATTGCCAGTGTTTTGCCTCCATTAATATGCATGTGAATAAATGTCGTACCTTCATTAATTTGCATATGAATAAAAGTTAACAGTTAAAAATGTCGGAGTAAAGCTTAAAGATAAGTAGCTTGGAAACGCACACTGCTTTTGTAGTAGTTTTAAGGCCCTCTTTTTTACATCAATGACTATGTTGTGCGCTCGCGACAAGCCAAAAATGTTGAAAAGATGTATTTTACCCACATGACAAAGTCTTGTGCACACCCCTTGTTAAACATGGTTTATAAGTGTGTACATATGCATTACCTGTATGCATCGGCCACGCATCGCAACTGCCTCGTTTTAGTCTCCCTCAACTGACGATCATCATCAGCTAGCTAACCATCTTTAAAGCATTTATCCTAACGCAGTCACTCGCTATGCCTTAATCCTTCGCGCATCGATAGGGAAGGCCAAGTCCGTGTGAGATCACAGCTTGATGCTTTGGGGGTAGTGAAACATCGTGACATTTCTTGTCCTTTTGGTGTTTTTATTTTGTTGGAACAGGCAGAAAGTTTTGGCATCAGACAGCTTTGCAGTACCAGTGATTCTCGGATGGCAACTGTTCTCTGCGCGTATTTATTTCGGTCGCCACACGGTGAACTAAAGCGTTATCATGGTGGGAGCGTCGTTATGGCATTATCACTTCTGAAGGAGTCCGGGCTAAGGCTAAAGCCTTACATAAATATCACAGCATAAATGCAGCACTGTGGGCTGAAGGACCCGAACTGCGTCAACAAATTTAGTACTCTATTTACGCACATGTCCAAACAAAAATGATCGTTCGGTAGATCCTATCCATCTGAGGACGCACGTTTTTTTGCCTCGAAATAGGTGGTGGATAAAGCCCAGAGCGAAATATGGTTTTGAGCGTTGAATTAGTCAGACAAGCCGGGTTCTATGACGCCTTCCAAAAATTGCGACTGTTTCTTTCTGACTGATCATTCTAGGCATCATTTGAAGTCTCCGTGAGGACGCCGCCGTTTGCTGTTATCACCCTGATTATGTCAGTTGCTGACGGATGTATTCCACACATGCGGTGCGATGCGTCGTCCACGTATCTATTGACCGCCGCTCCCGCTGCCGATATCAACTTTGACCGGCGGTCGATTGACCATTTGCGGTCGATTGACTCGGCGCCTGCCTCTAGTACGTGACAAGTAACCCGTACGTGGTTCTGAGTCTCAGATCAGCTGATTGTTTGAACTGGCAGATGTCAAATGACGGGGGGGGGGGGGGACGTGAGGGTCTCCCCGGCTGGATAGCGTGCCCGCACTAAAGTACTGAATGATATGTGAAATGTGCCCTAGACAGCGCAGGTAAAGCACTTGTCTGGCTGGACGAATCGGCATTCTGAGAACAGAAACTACGACATGAGTAAAAAGTTGGTCGACTCGAAACCTACGCATTCGATACATTCGCCAAAATGGCATATTTCGCGGCTTATTCGAGACATTTCATGCATTCGCTATGCAATGCACAACTTTCCGGATGTGACAAGTGTGCCAGATGTTTCAAATCGGCTGGGAACTATTCGCGATGAATGCATCGAATGTCTCGAATGGCCGCCCATTATACCAATCTTGTTGAATGAATTAAATGTGCCGAAGGTCTCAAATCGACTGCCAACCATATACGTGAACATGTCGAATGTGACGAATGGTTCGAATCGATTTCGAAGTTTACCATATGGCCGAATCCATTGAATGTGTCGGATGTCTTGAACCGACTACCAATCTTTCGCTCGCAATTTCCGTAAACCGCTCGGATTAAATAAACACACCTGGGCGTGGGGTGGGTTTGACCGCACTGAAGGTTCTCCAATCCAACCCCGAACGGCGGGGCGCAGCTGAGCCAAACCGTTTAAGTGCTGGGAAATTGAACTGCCGGTCTCTTGCTATCAAGACATTCGATGGACCTTGTAAGGTTGCTGACCCGTGGCCGGCCAAAGCCAGGCTATCGCCGTCAGCAAAGGTGATTCCTGGGGTGTCGTTCAATCTGATGTAACAACGGGTGTCAAACAAGGCTAGACATACTTGATATAGTCGCTGAATGATTAAACAGTTGTTGAAGATCGCGACCAATTCCGTTGGCCTTGGGTCAGGAGTAAAGGTTAAACCAGGGTCAAAACCATATCGCTCTCTTGCTGAACAATTTGCTTGTGAGGAAGTTTTTGAGGTTCATTTCTAATGTATTGATCACAGGGATGTCAACAGACATCTTATTTTAACTTTATGACGGTTAAAGTAGGATACTGGCCTAAAGTGACCCATGAAACCTTGTTTAAAGAGCACACTGCCTATCTAGTCCTTGGTGCTTTTTCGTCCCTGAAACTAGTACCGTTCGCGGAAGGCCTCTCGCAGTCATGGCTTTCTGGTCGCCGTTGTTGGCCGCCGTGGCTGCCGGCACATGCTCCAACGTGCTGACGCCCTCGAAATACTTACTCAGTGTGAATCGTTAGCTTGGAATGGCTGAGAGCCACGCGGTCGACGCATGAACAGTTAGTACAGGTAGTTCTATCTTACGAGGGAACGCACAAATCACTGTACATGAGTTTGGTTTTGTCTGGCTTAACTTGATATGTCCACTGTTCTTCTGGTATGGGTAGTTCTATTTTACAAGGGAAAGCACAGATCACCGTACATGAGTTTGGTTTTGTCTGACTTATCTTGGTGTGTCCACTGCTCTTCTGGCAGATAGTTCTATTACAAGGGAAAGCACAAATCACTGTACATGAGTTTGATTTTGTCTGACGCAAATGAATATGTCCACTGCTCGTCTGCTACAACATGCGGCAAATTGACTAATGAATCGCAGCTTTACGAGAGAGAACCACATGGCCGGTGCCTGAAAGCTCACTGCATTCAGTTACATGAAACGCCTATTTTCTCCGATGACGCTGATTTGAGTCAAATACTACGAATCGCGTCCACATATCCACATTTCAACCCATTCCCTTCCGAATACATCAAGCCATCCTGTCATTTAATGCAACACACCGTCTGACATAAACGTATATTGATGAGCCTTCGCGTTAGATGACAAAACATTAACGAATGCCGCCGCAGCATTTTTCGAGCAATATAACTCGAACATCGAGAGACAGCTCGCACACTCGACTTACACCAACTGACATCCACCGTTCGCTCTAACGTCGCAAAAAATGTGCTAAGGTCACGGTCCACCTCAGAACGCGTGTTTACACAGAAATGAGGGGGCCGGGGGCTCTGGACGCAGGACACACACCAGCTGTGACCACCCAGCGACGAGCACGGGTCTGGGGCCGACGGGGCGGTACATTGAAATCTCTGTTGGCCAGCAACGTAGATAAAGCATGACGACACGCATCACGGCAGCGGCGCCTCTGCAGCCTGGTGTCAGGGACAGAAACGGCACCAGCATCAAAGCGGACCGGAAACCCACATGGATGGATCACGAACTGCCGGAACCCTGCCGGAACAGTTCCGTTCCATGGTACGAAACAGGACAGGGATGTAGCGACAGACGCCATGACCGAGTACCCGGCAGGCCCGATCACACACAAGCATATGCTACCGTGTCAGAGCCACCCGACAGCGAGCGTGCCTCGGGGAGCGCCACTCCGCGGCGCCACACGCCGCAACGGGGCCGACCGCGCACCTCTGAGCGACCGGCGGCCGGCGGCGGTCGTCCCCACAGCGGCTCACACCAGCCACACTCGACCCGGCTGCCGGCTCTCTGCCGGACACCCACCCCGGCTGTTCACCGCGATGAGCACCCCGGCACGCCGGCCAGCGCCACCTCTCGGCCTCGCCGTCCGTCACCGCCAGGCGCCACCTCTCGTCGCGCGCCAACGGTCGCCGCCACCTCTCGCCCATCACCGGCAGGGCGAGGCGTCGCCGCCGCCGCTGCCCTGCACCACTGCCAGGAACTGGTTCAGGAAGAACACGTCGCAGTCATCCTCCCGACACATGTCGCGCACCGGTTTCGTGCTGCCGTACGGGTTCTTGGCCGGCTCGAGCCGCGTGCGCAGGTCCGGCACGGCGCGCTCCAGCTGCGCCAGGTCCCGGTCCAGCTCTGTACGCGTGTACGCCGTCAGGATCAGAGGCACGTCGTCGTGGCGCACGAGGAACGGCAGCGACTCGCGCCACGTGTCCTCCTCGCGCTCGGCAAACTCGTGGATGCCCGAGTTGAAGCAGACGACGACGTCGGGTCGCGTCCAGTGCGGTCCGCGGCAGTAGGCGTGGTAGGTGGTCGGTCGCATCTCGTGCACCACGTCGCGCTGGCGGCGCGTGCAATCCTCGCAGCGCGTGGCGCCCGAGTCCTCGACGGCGCCGGCCATGTCGCGGCCGCAGCCGCGGAACAGCTCCGGACCGACGAACACCAGACGGATGGCCCTCAGCGCCGGCAGTCGGTGCACCAGGTACTCCCACTTGATGATGCCGAGACACTCGACCAGCATCTGGGCGCCGACCACGTGCACGGTGAGCCGCTCCAGCTCCTGGACGGGCCGGCCGGCCGGCAGCCGCTGCAGCGCGTGCAGTACCGTCAGCGGGAAGCTGAGCCGCTCGGTCAGGAACGCGATCAGCACCGGGTCGACGTAGGCGCCGTCGGGCACCGCCTCGCGCTCCGCCAGTATCTGCGAGCTGAGCATGGTGACGATGTCGGCCGGCAGCGGGGCGTACTGCTCGTCGACGTCCGGCAGGATGGGCGGGTCGGCCAGGCCTAGGCGCGCCTCGTAGCGGTCGCAGGCGAGCGCCAGCCGCAGCGACTCGCACCAGCGGCCGTGTCGCGTCGCGTCCTGCGCCGCGTGCTCGGCGCCACAATAGATGGCCGAGTGGCAGCGCCGGCACTCGATCTGCTCGGCCGGCCGGAAGCGGTGGCAGCACTCGCATACCGGCGGGAAGAACAGCATCTCCTTCTCGTGCTGGCGCAGCTCGCGGCCCAGCATGAGGCGCAGCGCCAGCGTCTGGCTGGCGCGGTGACGCAGCCACTCCTGCCCGTCCACGATGCCGGCGCCGTCCGCCAGCACCGAGCTGCCGTCGTCGTTGCGCAACCTGCAGACGGCGACCGCAGACGTTACCATCAATGTGGACAAATGGTGATACACGACAGCCAGGCGCACCGCAATCGCGGAGAGCGTACCGCTGGCAAACGCGGGCTTCATGCGCTGACTGATTTGCTGACAGCTCATTGACTATAACTCTGAAAAGGTCGCTGCTTCACAGCGACAGGTAAAATGCCGAGCTCGAAAGGCCTTACATACACCATGCCTCTATTGTGTGAATTGAACACTATAAGCTGCATGCCAAGTTCAAACTTAACCCATGTCAGGAACGACGACACGACCATGAACATATCAGGGGTCGATCCGCACCACTGCATGCCAACTTTGACACTGGAAAGACATCACTGCTTGGAACACAATGTTATGGTGGAATTTATTAATACGCCCCAACCACGTTTGGCATCAGTTTGATACTGGCCTGCCACCTCACTTTTTGCAGATGGTCTTGTGGAGAGGCCAGTCGAGCTTCTGGTGCTCCTTGCTGCAGTACTTGATCATGCGGCAGTTGGCACAGCGGCTGAGGCTGCCGCCGGGCGGCGGCGTGGCCTTGCAGACGAAGCAAGCGCCGGGATAGTAGTGCGGTGGAACATCCAGCACCTCACCACCACCACCACCGCCGCCGCCCTCCTCCGCGACCTCCGCCGACATGGTGCTCCTACGGAAACACTGTGGGGCACCCCAAGGACACCGCCCAGTCAGACCATGTGCTCACCCATCAGACCTGACGAACAGGAACGCTGAGCACGGTCTGTCCGACCGACTCAGGTCAGGTGGATGATGGTCATCAGAGCTTAATGGCGCGCCGACCGACTGACTCGGGTCAGGTCGTCTGACCAACTGACTCGGGTCAGGTGGGTGATGGTGATCGGAGCTTAATGGCGCGCCGACTGCGAAGTAATTTTGCGCCCCTAGTTGTTGGATCTTTTAACACTTAACTGCGCAATTTGTTACCTTACATGACTTTTCTGTTGATGGTATGATTTACAATGTCTGTAGAATGTAAAGAACCCAATGTGTTGAGAGATAAGATATCTTAACTCGCCGGCAAATAAAAGTGGAAATGAAACCTCCATTGAGTTTTTATATTTGGCCCTGTTTGAGCAGCTAGCCATGCTAACAGGAAATCCTAATCTTACAGATTTGGGTCAAAAAGTGCAATAGCACATTCTTCTGGATGACAAATTCAGTCTATGCTACTTATCCCACATTAAATGGAACAAAGTCACATTCTATACACAAAGAAAAGACACCAGACTGAGCAGTATGACAAGGTGGGATCAAAATAATGCATGGATTAGAGCATACATAATCACAACTTGTAACAGATTCAAATGGATGCTGGTTATATAGTCACTTTGATAAGTTTTCACCTAACTTTTTTACTTTCACTCTGACAGCAACATCTTAGGGTAATAAATTATGCCAACATTAGAAACTTCAGCAAAGGAGGCATTCTTTTACTTGCATGTACACCAAATACTTTCTACAGGTAGCAATGGCCTGAATTGCTCAATAGGGAGAAGGCAAGCTTTGCAGAGCTACAGGCTACAAGCTACATGCATGTCAAGCTCTACCCATTATCCTATACAGGTAATGATAATTAAGTCATGGGTGGAATGGTGTTTCCATCAACAAAAAGGTTTTAATTTCACCCACAAAATGTTGTGACCTTCCTTTATATTTTACTAAAACTTGTAGTCCAGTCTGCACTTTTAGCTACACACATTTCTGCAAATTTCACCTGAACACAAAATGACCACCATAAAGTTGGGTATAATGCCATGTTTATGGCAGCACTTTGTACTGTCCCCCCATATTTATTACCCTGGGCAATTGCATAATCTGACTTTTCCCTGACTCTCCATGGGATTGTAATTCCGGTGGCTCTCAAACTGCAGAGGCAACCAAAACATTTGCTTTAATTTTCCAAATTATCTGAAATGGAGTCAACTAAGTAAGAAACAGACCCAGAATCAAACCATGTCTCCTTGTCACACTGTCAGCTCATATTGAGCTAAGCTTCTGTAAATCAGTTAGTATCAATCCTATGCATTATGAGGCATTCTTGAATTAAATTTGGCTGCATCCAAGTCATGAGGCCCAACTCATAGCATAGTCCAATCTGTGTGCTCAAGTGCATCTCAAATAGCAACAAGTATTCCCAATGCTTTGCATATATTCATCTGCACATTTACAGCATTTTCCTCATTCTCTAACAACAAACTTAAAGTTTTAGTCGCCCTATGCCCAGGAAGAATGTGTTGATACCCACTGGCCTTACTATTTATTAGAATCACCCAAAAAACTGTTTTCTCATGTTATTCTGCACTATTCCACAAAAATCAAAGCTAACTTGTTTATTGTTAGGATTCCCACAAAAAGGGTTGAAGCTTTACTCAGGTACGCTGATGCACCCAACTGAGCCATAATGAAAGCAAAGACGTGCTAATTCTCCAGCTGAAAATCCCATCAATCAAATGGCAGCGAACAAATCTTAAAAACCTGGAATACGTGCCAGTTTAGTTTCCAGGATCGCCCACATGTAGGCATTCCACATGCAACAGACACGAGGGAGGCTTTCCTAGGAACTTATAATGCTTACCTATGCTTCTTAAAGTGCGGAGGCCAATATTTACACTTAACACTGATATCATGAAATTGGTCGCATATTAAATACTACTCTTGAGGAAACCGAACAACCGGCTGGACGCGGCGCAGGAAACACGGAAGACCGCCCGTGCAAACCCAAGGTTGTGTTTAATACGAAGTCAATGCAGGCTGTTCAGCATTTTATGGAAACATCGCTGCACTGCTTAATCCATGCGGCGTAATCCTTACCTTACCTTATGGTGATCGGGAATTTTAAAAGGCCACTAGGCCTGTAGGTCCCGGTCTCATCAGGCTTCCGGTCCGGTAACCGAACAGCCTCAAATTATGGGTAGATTTAGTTCGGGACGTCATACATGATGTCAGCCAAGCGCATACCAAGCCTAGACTTGAACTGTTTAACTGAGGTTGGCGACACGACCGGGTGTGCAAGGGCGCTCCAAACGTTGACGACCCGCGTGCTGAACGAGTTACGACGGACGAGAGTCCTAGCTCTAGATTTTCTCAGCTTCCATTGGTGTCCTCTTGTCGCCTCCCAGTAACGCCTTGTCGGGAGCTTCCCTTCCGACAGCGACATACCTGCGTGAAACAGCTGGTACACTGTTACCATGTCTCCCCTGCGACGACGGTAGTACAGCGAGGGCAACTGAAGGAGTCTGAGCCTCTCAGGGTGTGGCTGGCGCCTCACTTCAAAGACAAGCCGGGTGGCTCGTCGCTGAACCCGCTCCAGCCGCTTCTGGTCCAGTTTGCCGAACAGGGCCCCAGATTACGGACGTACTAAGGATCTTAAAGAGCAATGGCAACGTGCGAGCATCGATGTTGGCAAAAGACCGCTTCACGACCGCCAGCATCTGGTTGACCTTGGAGCCGTCTGCACGTGGAACTTGAGCCGGTAATCCACGAAGATCCCGAGGTCCTTCTCGGTGGACTCGGCCGCGATTTCGGCGCCGTCCAAGAAGTAGGTCAGCCTCGGGTTGCAGTTCCCGATGTGCATTATTTTGCACTTTGCTGCACTGAAGGGAAGCAGCCACTCCCTTGATCACTTGGCCAGGCCGTCGAGGTCAACCAGCAGAGGTGAGTTAGTCAGGGGCCTCGGGACACGACAGTAGACCTTGGTGTCATCAGCGAACATCCTGACCAGGCTTCACACTTGTTCTGGCAGATCGCTCACGAAAATTATGAACAGCGTTGGTCCAAGCACTGATATTTGCGGGATGTCGCTGACGACGTCGGTCCAGTCCGACTTCGAGCCCTGGACCCACACTCTCTGCATCCGGTGGGTAAAAAAAGCCTTGGTCTAGCGTAGCAAATTACCTCTCACACCGTAAGCACGAAGCTTGGAGAGCAGACGGTTATGAGGCACAGAATCAAAGGCTTTGCTAAAGTTCAGGTAGGCTATGTCCAGCGGCTCTCCATCATCTACCGCGGCGCTGTAATCTTCCATGACCTCTAATAGCTGGGTGATTCAGGACCACTTGGAGAGAAACCCATGCTGGGCTGCATGAAGAAGTCCAGACTCCGAGAAGTGATTACGTAGGGCATCACGGACGAAAGTTTCGAGTATTTTGGGGGAATGGCAGTGAGGCTCACTGGACGGTAGCTCGCTGGAGATTGCCGGTTACCCTTCTTAAAGATCGGGACTACGTCACCAAGCTTCCACTCCTGGGGGAGCCTTCCGGGTGCCAAAGATTTTCGGAAAAGCATGCTGAGGAGCGCTGCCAGGGCATCTGCGGACTCACGAAGAAGCCTTGGGTGGACATGGTCTGGCCCAGGTGCGCTCGAGGTCTCCAGAGCAGCCAATTCATTCGCCACTGGCTGGGTAGAGATGTCCACGTCGTCCAGAAAAGGTCCAGTAAAGTTGCACGACAACACAGGCATGGCACTAGTCCCTTCGTCCGTGAAAACACTGGCGAATAATTTACAGAGGACATTGGCCTCCCCTTCGTTACTGCTGGTCAACACTCCATCATCGTCAAGGAGGTCTTCTACCCTGCATCTTGTGCGTAGTCTTGAGTTGGCGTACCTCCAAAAGGCCTTGGGGTTTCTTTTAAGGTCCGCTTCTAATTTCATCTCATACTCTTTCCGAAGGTACCTGGTCAACTTCCGAAGGTCATTGCGACATCGCACAAACCTGGCATGGTCCAGAACATCCTGAGTCCGCGTGTACGTACGCCATAGTCTTTCCTTGGTTTTCTTTAGTTGCGTGACCCTTGGGTTCATGCGCAAGTTCTTCTTAGGTTTAGTCCTTCTCTTGACGGAGCAAACTTCAGTATCCCTGGCGATTCTCCCCTTGAAGAACTTATAAGCATCTTCGAGGCTGAGGTTCTCCATCAGGGACCAGTTCATTCACCTGAGGGTGGCAGCCAGATGCTCGTAATTCGTGTGTGTGTCAGCTGGCCAGGACGAGGAGTTTCCAGCACCGAGTAGCAGACCAAGGTGTACCTGATTATCACATTGTCACTGCTACCTAGCCCAGGCAGGTATTCGATTTGGCTCACCATGCCCTCCTCGTTTGTGAAAATGAGATCGAGAACGCTAGGCGCTTCGCCAACCCGGTAGCGTGTTGGCTACCGGACATACTGGAACAAAAGACACCCCTGGATGGTGTCTATCAATGAGTGGTTTGCGTGACTCTCTGGAGCTGATGACCACTCTGTTGCCCTGTCAGTCAGAGGCAAGTTAAATTTGCCTACAACCATCAGGTGAGAAAACTGGGCTCTGCATGGTCTCTGAATAAGGTCTCCCAATTGGCCTACACTATCTTGGATGTTGCTGGATAGACTTCTGCATATGCAGCCAAGTAACAGGGCGTCGTTCCCACTCCAGGTCATTTTCAGCCACACTTACTCCAGAGAAACTGACACAAATGAGTGTTCAGCTGTAATTAGTAAGTTGAACACATAGACACAAATGCCTCTCCTACCACGAGATCCGAGGTTGGGTAGAGATAGATTAAAGTTTGTGTGCAGGGTGTACCCAGAAATCGATAGGAGAGATGGTGTAATAGGAAGCTTCTGGGCATTGGGGAGGGCTTCGGTCAACAGCATGATATCTGCCTTATGGTCAGAAATAAGCATACATAAATCATCCCTTTTACTAAGGAACTGGTCTGCATTCGTGCACAATACCTTCAGACCTTGCTTACCCCTGCACTGAGGAGCATTATGTAGTCATTGTGGACCTATGGAGCCAGCATCACCCTGAGCCTGAGTGTGTTTATGCATGGATGCATCCTGAGTGACTGAGGTCACTGTGGTGCTATCAGTCCTGTCAGGGCCCCTAGAACCCCAAGGGCCCTTAGTGAGGTGACCCTCAACACCCCCACCAGCAGGGCCTAATAAAGGGGGGGGGGGTGCATCCTGCTTGAGTGCCCCTGGTGTTTTCACTTGGGATCGTTGTAGTTGGTCCAGAGGCAAGCGGAAGAATCATGCTGGTGCCTCTGAGACCACCAGATGGGCAGCCTGCTGGAGTTGATGATATTTCATCCCTTTGCAGGGTAGCTGGAGCTGCCGCTGGTACAGTAGAGTGCACCATACTGGTACCTCTGGGTCCATCAGCCACTTGTGACAATGGGGCACTCTGCTTGATGATCTTGCCCTGCATGATCAGCTCACCTGCCTCCCTTCTTCTGAAGATTGTCTCTCGGCTTCTTATCCTTTTCCCTCTCTTTGCCGGTTCTGTCCTGGGAAATGAATAACCTATTCCATTTGCTACTATGCCGCAGGTGCGGGGCAAGCTTCAGGAGCTCAGCTCTGGTCTTCTGTGTTTCAAGTGTCGCTATCATCAGCACTATGCTTACCTGGAAGCTTCTTCGTTCACAACATAATCGTTCGTTCGTTCGTTCGTACCGAACATATCACACAATCGTTCGTAACATAATCGTTCACAACAAAATAAAAATGGGTGGCACTAGTGTGCTGCCAAAAAAGCGCCGTAACGTTTTCTGTTACCGTTGTATAAGCGTGGAAGCGGTGATTCAGTGAGTGCCATCGCACCCACGGATGTCGATTTGTATTACTCTGAGTGGCCCACTGGTCCGCGCCATGTCCAGCTTGCCCCTCCACGAAGGGAGCTTTAAGTTATCTCGATTTTGACGAAGGTTTCCTGTACCCAATTGTCTCACAGATAACGCAAGGAAAAAGTAAGCTGCGGTGTGACATCCAGCCGAGTGTAACTGAATGAACTTATCACACTTAGAGATCCGAGTTTGTACCGTGTTTGCTTCAATATTTCCTGCTGCTTTCTGCAAGTGGGATGTTTTTAAGAACATGATGTATATTTTCTTGTTGGCTCCGGTTTAGTTTCGTGTTATTTTCTGAGTGTTTTGTCATTATTCAGTGATGTTGCAACTTGTACAGATTGCAACAAGCTGCGTTATTCTGCGGCAATGGCTTGATGGCTTGAAACGGCTCGAAAATCGGAAAATGAAAACATCAGACAAATATTAGCACCCAAACTACGTAACGTATTTACTGGTCGTCTACGTTAGGAAGAATGAAATGAACTGAAATATGCCGGCGTCGACTTCGATGTGAATGTTCAGTGGAGCGGTTGCGGAATCTGACGATTCGAACCAGTCAACTAAACCGACAGCAGTAATCGTCCGACAGTGACCACTAAAACAACGCTAGCCATGTCGAATATGCCTAACGTGAGTGCTGCGTGACAGCCTTCAGCCCACCGTGCGGCTGCTGGCCGGGGGTTTCTGTGGTAGCCTTTAAAAGTCACGCGTATCAATTGGCACTCTTTATTCCTTAACACGCAAACGTCCAACAGCGCTGCAGCCACATAATAGGAGCCGTTTGTCGATGACTGAAACTTGACTGAAGCTGCAGTACCATGTGATATCACAATCGTTCCTGGTGACAATTTTTCCTCCAGAAATTTGGTTGGCGACAAGAAGTACACTTTTGCTACCCCACCGTTAATGTAGCAGTGTCTGGCTGCTGCGCGCATTCTGCGGCGTCGACGGTTGCCGTCCGCCGCCCGCACCGGTCGCAGATGGCCGCGCAGTGTTCGTCAAAATCTCTCCGCACTCGCACCAGAAAAGCTAGGAA